TTTCCCTCCTGGTCTACCCTGGAGTGACTCCATCAACATCAACTGTGAGTTGTCCTTTTTTTGTTCCCCTATAAACAAACGAGCAAGTGGCCAGTTTTACTTCTTATTATTTATAAATAACAGTGCAAAGTTTTATCTCAGAAGGGAATTTTAATAGTGAAGTTACATATCCCTTACAAGAGGGATTTATAATGGGAAATGCACAGAAAGAAGCTATACCCTCAGTATTGCAATTAAGCTTTTAAAACATCCGATAATTCATTGTTATTTGTTTTTCCTTTCTTTGATGAACTGATAAATGTCACTTGAATATTTGCTTGAGCACTCAGTGGAGAAGCTGGTTTTCTTCAAAAGAAAATAGCATACACACTTATTCCTCAGCTACTGTATAAATTCTAAATAGTACCTTGGCAGAATTATGAAATAAAAATGAATGCTTTTAAAGGCATTTGTGGAGTCTGGGGAATAAATGATAGAATTTTCTTATATTTCTCATATATGCAGATAACAGATACATTTAATGCAAGAAGGAAATAGAATTTTAATAGAATTTTTAACTAAAGATCTTGAAACAAAACTAGACATACATTTTAATTGAATTTCTGGCTCAAATTACAGCAAACCATTATAAATCATTAGGAATCAGTTTTAAAACTGCTTTCACTTTTACCCGTATTACAAACACAGAGGTAAGCTTTTACAGCTACAGATAAGTGTTAATAAATTACCCGAATTTCAAAATTAATGGCTGCCCGGCTGCTTTGGGGAGATATCATTGTGTTTCATGAATATTTTGATTTTGTGATTAGATCAAAATGCACTGAATTCCTAAACAGTCATAACTAAGGTCTGCTGATCATAAACTGTTCTTTTTTAATAAATTATATTCCTCACAAATCTGCTGATATGGAATAATTAGAAATTGGTTGCCTGCATTTACTGTAATATTTGCATGACTTCAGATCTCCACCTACTGATCTAGTGGCTGGCAGGAAATGTACATTTTGTACATTTCTAAATATACCTTGCCTGCAGAGATAATGGTTTATATTGTGATGTTAAGAAGGTTTTTATTTGCAAAAAACAAAGAGGTGTCACTTGCCAGTTCTGGGAGACATTGATTAGGCTGTTTATGTCATTCCTATTCAGAACTTATTATTTACAGCTTTCCTGTTTCCTTTCCTTTGTAGGAGATAATGATCTGTCTCTTGTAAACTGCTTAAAGTGTGCCTATTTTCTCTTTTTTTAGGGAGTCTTGAAATACATTTTATAGAAGGCAAGCATATTGAAATGGAATGTAAACGGTGTAAAATACAGCATATTAATCGAAAATGATATCTGTCAATATAATCTTTAAATTAAGTGATATACAAATATTTATTGTTAGGAAATGAAAATTGCAAATCCATTTTTCATTGTGGAATGCACATGTATCCGAATGTGATCCTGTAAGACATATACCTTCTATAATTAAATGCCCTTACCTTTTGGGAACTATTCATTTTAAACATATGTACCTGTGCATATCTGTTTTTTGCTACAGATCTTCAGTGAGGGAGGGAGTGTGCATTGCAACACGGCATTCAGCTCTTAGAATGACCTAACTACACAGCTTCCCTGTAGTTTCTTTACAGCCAGATACCTTAAGGTGCATTTCAAATATAGGAAGGTGCCTTCACTTTTCTGGCAAATGCAGTAAAGATCTAACATGTTTCTTAATGCTTACTATACACCCAGTATTGAAGAGGCAGGCTACAGCCTACTATATAACACACTTAGATGATGGGAGGAAGACAGTGCTGGGGATATTCACATGCTAAAATTAGAATAATCCTCCATTTCAATAAAGCAAAAGGCAATTGTCACCATTGCTGTGGCTTTATATTGTGAATGATAGATCTAGCAGAAAATACTGTTTACAAACCTTCAGTTGGATTACAGATTTACAATTTATTTTAATGAGAATATGTCTTTATTAAGAAAACTTTACCCTGCTGTCTGTTTTCTCCCAATTGTCATTACAGTTGTTACTGCAGCCGGGTGAAAATCTTCTTACTCCCACACTGGACAAGTGGTCCTGGAAACCAGAAGACATGTAAAGTCATCATGGACAAAGCTGTTAATTACTCACAATCATATTCTTTTGACATTTCAGCTAAGTCTTTGTGCTGTTTATTTTGTGGATATGTATCCCATTCTCCCTGGCAGCGGGACCTAATCGCATTAAAACTTAGTACTGAGTTTCATCAGCAATATATCACATACCCATTTTAACTATCCTCAAAATGAAATTTGTTTTCTTTTTAAATATAAAGGAGAAATCAGTGCTGTAGAAGGAGAATACCTCCAATGCCTACACTTGTTGAATAACATGTTGATTGATGCTTTGTTAGCAGCCCTCAAAACTGCCACAGAAACATTAATCTGTGTATTAATGAGTGATTTTTCAATACTGAAGAATCTGATAATTTGGTCAAGTGCAGATTAATAAATGTGACGATGAAAGAGGGAATCTTGTTTGTTATATTCTTTCCACTGGCCATACTGGAAACCAGCTTCCCTGGCGAGGGAATATTTTCCTGGCTAGCCTGGCTTGAGGGCTGCAGGTCCATGATTTGGGGCCAGTGTTATGTTGGCCCTACTTTAGCATGCTTTTTTTAACCAATTAGGAACTTGTAATAAAAAAGCAAACCCAAATGACAAGGCATGTTATGTAGAGGGATGTATTATGTTCCCTCTCTGCTTATGTATAGGGCACATAGAGGGGTGTATGACTGCTACTGTAAGGGACACAGTTAACGATAGAGAAGGAAGAGGCCTCTGTAGCACCAAACCTTAGGTACTTAAGGTGCCTAAATTGCAAGGGTAATTTGCCTGTGGTTCTAACAAAGGCTTCTTCCGCAAACGATTCAGGCAGGAAATTAACTTAGACAGGCTAAATTTTCCTCTAGCGGAGGCACTCTCTCTTCATTAACTATAGTGGAAGCTTAGAGATATCAGCCTCCTAACTTAGGCATGTAAATTAGTTATCCGCAGTTGGCCAGCGAGAATACTAGCCAACTGGCAAACTACACAAATAATTGGTAACTGTACAAAGACTTCACATGATGCAAATCATTAATAATTGAACTGAGGTTTTTTTATAAACTACTAAATAGGAATTAGCTCTGGGAAACAAGGAAATAATCTGGAAAACAAGACTCAGACAGGAACAAATAAAGAAATAGCCAGATACATCCTCTGGAACTCCTAACATCTATGGAAAATTAGGTGCGCTGTGGACTGGAGACATGCAGATAGAAAAAGAAAGTGGCGTAGAGTTAGAAAAATATAGGTTTTACTTTGAAAGCTATGTTTGGCCAAGATATCCTTTAAAAATACTATGTAGGACATGAGAGCTGCTATGGTTACACCAACGAAGACCGTCTTATTTGAACCTAAAGATTTCTGTGAGAATCCTAATTCTACCCTTAGAGGATATTACTAACTCCCATTGATGTTAGTTCTTCATGGGACAAAGTTTGGGCCTGAGGATTGTTAACTGGTATAATTCTTATGAAGAGAGAATATACAATTCTTCTGGCAAAGAAATAACAAGGGATAATCTAAAGTGCTCTAAGCCACCATCAGGAAGAAGAATTATTATCTTTTCTTTTTACAAGAAAAAAGAACCTACATTTAAGCTAATATTGACAGATCTCTGCAGACCAGAAGAGAAACAATCCCGCAGCCTCAGCAAAGCAAAGAGATCAGTCTCTGACATCCTTTCAGAGACCAGCTGCTGGTGAAAGAGAGCGGAGGAGCAGCGAGGCAGAGGAGCAGGCGTGTGCAGTGGATATTCCTGGAACCCAGTAAGTAGGCCTAGCTATTTAGCAGATTTTGTAAAGTACCCCTTTGTGTGGAAAATAAATAGACTAAAATATGATCCTGAAATCTTCAGGATCATACACGGCATAAGAAACTCGGTTAGCATCAGTGTTCTGCTACTGAATTATTTGTACCTGTGCATGTTTGCATTAGCGATAGTGACTTCAAAGTGCTGTGGTGACAGTCATTCTGCATAATGCTGAACAGCCAAGCATGTTTTAACAAGGGGGCAGGATTACTTTCTGAACAATTCTAGTGCTATTTGCTTTGTGGAAATGCTTAATTGTATGCTAAATTGACTGTAGACATGATCTTTTAAAGCTCAGTTTTTCAAGGGTACCTCAGGGAGTTACCATTCACCTCCCATTGACATGCAGCGTGATTTGGGCAGGGAACTCCCTTAGGCTTTTGTGAATATCCCAGCCTTATTGTCCTTTTCTGGACAAACATGTGACAGCCATTGTCCTGACTGGGGTAGGTTAATCAGCTAATATTTATATCGTGTTCTGGAGACTGTAAGGTAGGAGAGAAGTGCTAACTGTTGGTATTATTATTATTGAATTAGAACTCTTGTTCTAAGCAGGGGAAACCTCTCCTGCACCCCTCAAGTGACAACTGCAAGAAGTCAGAAACCTATTTGCATAGGGTTTTGAGGAAAAATATGTTGCTAAAATACTCAGGCATAGCGTGGGTAACGTTCGAACATCATATGTCTACACGTGCTGGTGGCTCCCATCTCTGCAGCACAGGGAATCATACACCTGTGAGGTGAAGAGCAGAATTGTCTCCTCCTTCCCAAGGAAACACAGGCCAGAGATCTCTGCCCGGGTCGTAGTGAAAATTTTGTCAAGGATAGAGAACCCAGATCCCTACTACTGTGCAGCAGTACCTAAACAACAAGATTAGTTCAGTATACACTCAAAAACAATGTTTAGTTTCCGTCATTCAGACTTCAAGGATTTGAGATTTTGCTTATAACTTTCCTAAGCCCTTCCTCTAGAAGCAAACTGATTCTCTTGGTCTCCACCCTGGTCATCCAGGGACTTCCTTCTCCCATTAGTGGCCTGAGCACCTTCTCTGCAGGGCTGTGCTTCCTGGACAAGGTGATCATGACAAATCTTTTGGTCTAGAGATCAGCAAGAGTATTTTTCCCTTGTGGGTCAATTTGGCAAGGAGCTCAGGGGAAGGGCCAATCTGTATTAACTGAATAGGCAATTTATGTTAGAAGGAGAAATGGCAATATTTAGCATGTTTCTACTGCAGCTTCAGCCCCCTGCACATGAAGGCAGAGACCAGAGGTGACTGAAACCTAGGACAGGGCAAGTAACATTTTGCCTGTTAGAAGTCACTCTTCATCTGCGCTCTATTCGATCAGAGCAGCAGATGAGAGGGTTGAGAAATGAACTGTCATTGGGACAGACTGAAAAAAGCCAGTCTCTACTTATCAGTCACATGGTATAAAACCTTTCACCTCTCACTGGAACTGATTTAGTGCCTGATGTATGTGGGAACATCCTAACATTATCAAGTTAAAGTGCTATGCTCTCTGTTTAAAGCCATCCTTGTGCCTGATTTTGTACTTACTAATGCACATATTATTATAATGACACACCAAAGCAAGATCGTTCTGCAATGTAAAACAAGGTCAATTTAGGAAAGCAAACTCTAGCCTCCACATCCTCAGAGGAGGCTTTGTGACTAACTAACAGTGTTCCAAGAAGCGGGAGAAACACAGCGTTACCTCTCACATACTCCTGTTTTTCAGAGTAGCCCCTGAAAATGGCTAAAGAAGGGTAAATTATAGCTCTGCTGAACAAGTCAGATGTGCAAAATACTGATGCGTTACCCAGATTCTGCCTAGCCAGAATGACAACTGGATATGCTAAAAGCAAAGAGTCTGTTTAATAAAGGGAGCATTACCTATGAATATTTATTCATATGCATATATGTGATAAATTTCTTCAAACTGCAGTCGGAATCATGACTGGCATGTGGAAAGAGCACACAAATCTGAAATAGACTAAAGGTAGGTAGAGAAAATTGAGGAGAAAAGGGATATCTTTACACGCGTTCAACTCAGGGAAACAAAGAAACCTAAGAGTAGACCTCCACAGCACAACAGAGTTTATGTATGTTAGACGTACCTGAGTTTGGCGCAGGTTAGGTGATGTATCCACATAGCAAAGAAAAACACTGTGAAAAGATAATGCTTTAGGACTCAGAAGCAAATTAGAGGTAGTTGAAGATTATTCCTTCTGATACGAGGAGTTGCTCAACAGCTGCTCACTGGGATCCCTATACAATACTGTATAGTGTCCTATAGGTAGGTGTATATTCAGATCCACTGGATATTGCAGAAGGAAGGACAGCCCCACTCACTGTTGCTCTTGCTTCTGCCTTAACCCATGAATTTTTCCACCTGCTCCCGTATGAGAACAGGAACTGGCTCTCCCTCAAACTGAGCCCGTTCTCACTTGATTAACTGCTTATCTTGTTATGGGGCAAGCTCCAAGCTCCGTAGGCTGACATTTTCAAAATTAAGCACATCAATCAGACACTTGAACCCCTGATTCCTCATTGTGTAAAAGCTACAGCTGTCACCAGATTTATTTGGAGGTATTTGTGATCTGCAGCTCTAAAAACTGGCCATTTTTATTTAGAGTCCTAAAAACAAACTCAAGTACTTAGCTTTAGGCAAGTTCATCTTGAACCTTGGTCCTAAGCCCTTTTTTAATTCTCTGCTTGGTAAAAGAAGGTAAATAGTTACTGTGTACATATATCAGTGTTGTCCTGAAGATTAGTTAGGATTTGTCAAATGTTATGCAACATGGTAAGTCATACCCATTTTTGGAATGTTTTATGGAACTGTTGTGGCACAGTTGCTTTAGATCACTTTTGCTTCGTTTTAAATATACAAGGCTTCTTTTAGGCTTCTGTTAGAGAATTCAGTGTGGAAGCCGCTTTTCATATGCTTAGAATGAAACTCGATCAAGTTAACAACAGAGGGAAGCTCAAGAAAACTTTCCCTCATACAGGGAAATGTTGTCATTCCACTTCATAAACAGGGACTAGAAGGACCAAATGATACTAAGCATTTCATTTATAGCTATATCTAAACAAATTACACTTGAATCTCATTGTCTTGGACCTGTGGGAACATATATAAAGATGCTTCCTGGCTTCAGGGAGTTTAGAATTAGACATATGGATGAGCTTTACGTAGAAGTTAGATTACAGAGTTTACTGTAAAAATCCTGGGATTTCACCAGTAATTTATGGGTAGATCTTGCTGGAGAGAAAGGAATATAATTTAAAATTTTGGAGGGAGCTATTTACACAAAATGATCTGTTCCTACTTTACTCCAATAAGTTAAATTGAGTCAGTGGCAGGTTCACTCAAATTCTGTTGCATCATGGGTTGCGTCATGAATTTACTCTGAGGAATACTGCACACCCACAGCTGGGCTGATCCCCCTGGAACTGCTTTTGAGAGTAATATTTTGTCCACAAGGAGCTCATAATCAGTCAAGCTCACAATCTTCTTAGAATAGTGATTGTCTCTGATCCTGCACTTATCACCAAAAATGGAAAGAGCAACAAGATGCATACAAAGATTATCAACCCATTTTGCAATAAACCTGTTTCATGATTGGTGCCTCTTTCACTTGTCACTTCTTTGACATTCAGTCACCTAGATATTGACGTGCAGAGATCAGTTTAGGGTGGGAGGTCAAGGGAAGGTATAAAGAGCAATGATGTATGTGGAGCTCATTGTGTCTTCAACTCTAGTTAAAGAATTATAGGATGTACTCATAGATTTAATGTTTAGCAACTCCTGATATCTCACGGTTATGTTATTTCCAAAAAATAACTTATTGCTAGTGTGAAGCAATCAGCGAGGACAGGACGAGCAAGCTTTCTCCCTGGTCATGAATATTTATTGTTATTAATGCACATTAATCAGCCCTTTTCAAAATAACAGAATGATTTAAGAAAATAGAGGAAATTACAGTTTTGAAGAAATAATTCAAAGGAATATTGTCTAAGAGAGGGTCAAGTATTAATTATTGCTCAAGCTGTTTTCCAGCTGATTTGTGATGTAAAAAGTGTGTTTTATACAAAGCTGATTGACAGTTTGTCCTAATGGTCAAAAAACTTCAGTATTTCCAGGGTATAATCATAGCCTTTCTGTACGCGATGGAGTAGCTGCTGCATGGGGTGAAGTCTTGGGCATCTCTGACAGATGGAAACACTTCTTTCACTTAGAAGTATCTCAGGGTTATATGTTTTACCCCAAGGAATCTAGGAGGGTAGTAAAAAAAAAGAACATTCCACATCACATAACTTTTCAAACATAATGGGAATTTTGTGATAAGGAGAATTTATATCTGAAAGTTTATACATTAAAAGTAAGAAATTAAGGTATACACATAAGAGAAATCAAAGTACTCAGCAGAACAATCACTGTCAAAACATGCAATGCCCAAGTAGAAGATAGTCTTTAGAGAATATACACTTTTCCAGGTACTAAGCTAAGAAATCCTTCATACCATACATGACAGTGCAGGTCTTTTCAAGTATATATGCCAGGAAGATCAATTGGATCCAAGGTGCTGCATGTTGTAATGGAAATACTATAGCGCAATACTCATTGATTGAAACTGAGTATTCATTTCAAAGTAAATTAAATGTTGAAATCTTCTCAGAATTCTTCTAAATCTGAAAAGTTATTTTAATTTCTGTGGCTAATCCATGCATTTCAAGACCGCAGTGGTACCAAAATTGCTATGGTAATGTCATCTGACTTCCTATATAAGATAGGTTTATGTAAATTAATATTCTTTACAAATAAGCAGGACTGTAACAAAGTAATACCCATATTCTAGAATTACTTTCCTATCACTGAAACGTTCCACAAGACTCCTAATTTCAGGCAAAGTCAGAGGGGATAGTAATGAATATTTTTTGTATGGCACCATGAAAC